CTTCAACCCTTCGGGGGCCGCCCGCCTCTGACGAGGCCGACGCGTCGCTGCCGCTGCCGCGCGGCCTGGCCTCGCCGACCGCGGCGCCGCGCGGGCGGCGCTCGAGCGCGTCGTCGCGCTCGAGCGCGACGTCGGTGCATTGGGCGATGCCGGAGCTGTCACAGCAGCTTGGGCGTGTTCGGTGTGAGGGTGCCGGGTTGGGTGGGTAGAGCGTGCCAGGTTGGCTTGGAGCTGTATGGGAAGTGCACGGAAGTACTAGGTCCACGGTACCACGGTGTCAACGGTCATGATTTTGAGATATTGGAGGTGTTGTAAACCTTTAGACTGACTGGGCTTCTGATGTTTTCTGGAATTTGTGTCATTGAGGACTCAACCTGACTGGAAAGAGTGTAAAATGATGTAACATGAGAGTTTCGCCACAATGAGAAGTACATTTTTCTGAAGAACTAGATGGATGTGGACCCTACCAAAACCAGAAATGACAAGGAAGTGAACAAAAAAGGAGAGGCAAATAACAAGACATCAACAAGAAAACTGTGAGCCATGACACTGCAGACGTTGTTCGAGTGTCCAGTATTGAGTTTACAGTACACCAACTGTTGCTGTCGTTTCATTTGCACGGCATTGTAGTGTTCGTTTCTTTTTATCCGGAATCAAGCTTTCACGAAGCGTCGTTTCATCTGCAAGCTGTGTTCCAGTTTCCGGAATCGAGTGTACAAGTGTGCAAGAAGTCATCTTCACACTGGAAAGAATTTGTAATACAAGTTGCCTCCTGCCTACCCACTCCACGCCCAGAGAAAGTGTGCAACCATGAGTAATGAGTGTATGTGTGCATTGAAAATTCAAAACATGCATCAAGAGCAATTGAAAAGCACTATTGCTCTCCCCAGCAACCCCGAAGGAAACGGCAAAGTTACGGTATATAAATAGCGCACGAAAACCCAAACAACGCAGGAAACACCACGGCTGTCAGCGCACTGTGGTCCAACTAGTTGCAACATACTAGACCCTTCGAGGATCTTTTTCAGGGGGGCTTGGATGCAAGGAACACCTGAGATCATAGGAGATCTGGGGTGAACGTCTACGATCATTTCCCCCTTCTCCGGCGCGATCCGGGGTGTGACTGAACTTTGGGGGGTGATCGCCTGGGAATCCTGGAGAGATTCTGTGGGCCCCTGGAAGGATTGCGTGCGCTGGCGTCCTTTTTGCTCGGTCGGTTTGTTTGGAGTGCATCATGTGCTACGCCTTCGATTCGGGAAACCCCAGCCAGTCCTGCCACGGGATGGCACGGACACGCAGCCCACAGCCCCAGCGGCCGACGACTTTCCGATAACAGGTGGTGAACCGTCTCACGGTCGCGAACGAACCCGTATACCATGTATTAGTTCCTTTTGTTGGTTCTTGGCGTTGGTTCGCGTTGGTTCAAGCAGCGCCCTGAGCTGAAAGAGGCCGAAGAGCTGCCAAAAAACCACCCAGCAGCAAGCCAGCCCAACAGAGATTTCTTGCTGCAATGAAATTCCTGACTTTTCCTGGATGAAAAGCTGGGTCAGGGTACTGGTGCGTCTTCTGTACACCTTCACCACGCAACTGGCCGGACGGACCGGCTGCAGAGGGTCTGGGTCTCTCCTCTTCGCTGAGGGTGATGTTGATGGTGGACACGGCGACGCCCCAACTGGAAGTGGAGCAGGCGAGGTTCGCGTGAGCCCTGGAGAACCGTCAGGTGAGTGGTCCTTCTCCCAGGAGTGAGAAGGTGAGACAGATCAAAACCACAAGAATGGGGAGACTTTTTTGGCCGCTGTGGCACGCAAAAAGAAAGGAAAGGAGCCGATCTGTGGTTGGGATTCTTTCACTTTCCTGGGTTTGGGGCATGGAGCCTTTTGTAGAATTAAACTTCCCAGTCGGCCAAGACCATGGTCTTCCGTTTGGCAGTGGGTGAATCCCCCACGTCCATTCCATGGGGCTCCGAGTCTTTCTTCACCATTCTCCCCACCAGTACTGCACCTGCCCCCTCCCCATTATCTTGTGGGGTGGGGGGGTCCAATGGGTCAGTCGACTGGAGAGCATGGCGGAGGCGCATCTGAGCTTCCTCCGTGCTGGCAAGTCCTTGGCCGCGTTGCGGGAGCTGGTACGACCCACCGAGTGGGAGACGGTGCGCGGGGAGATCGAGCATTACCTGCTGGGCCATGAGGAGGTGGCGTGGGATGGGGAAGAAGTCAGGGAGGTGAATGGAGGGAAGGGCCCCCTTGCAAAAGGTACTGGAATAAGGAGAGATTGCTTGGAGAGACCTGAAGGATCCGTCATCCACTTGAGTCACTTGAGGATTCGCAGCAGAAAGCACACCGAACAATCCATCACCTTCCCTTTGGTATGTCTTCCCCTCCAGGCAAAGGAGCCGCTTCATCTTCGACCGCTGCGCTTCCGGATGAGCGAAGGCTCTAAGGCCGGTGCGGGAGCGGGAGCCGCTCTTGGAGCTTCCACTTCCATGTGCCCAGCCCAAAGAAGTGGTTTCCACTCTGAGGTTCATGAACGAGTCAGTCAGATGGGACGTGGAATAAATACAGTAGGTAGGCCTTTGGAAGAGCCGTTAGTTTCTCTCAGAGCATGGGCGGCTGTCCACTTCCATGTGACCCTGGATGCCCGGGCCAGTCAGGTGGGCGAAAAGCCGGGCATGAAAAACATTGAAAAACATCGATGACAAGAGCACTCCGGAAAACGGTTGGAATGGATGAGAGGTACTAGTGGTAGACAGTCCCACTCCCCCCACTCCAGACGATTGGCTTTCTTCATATGGGCTTTCTTTGGCGTGCAGGACTACATGGTGGCTGAGCGCGTGGAAATCTCCGTCTCGGGCGGCGCGAACCGGGGCGCTCCGAAGTTGGTGTGCCACTTGGAAGACTTCACACGTGAAAGTCCCAAGAGGAAGAGCCCTGGCCGCCAGATGGTTGTGAGTCTGTTTGAGTACGGGATTGGTGCGAAAAGGGGGGCGAAAGGAGAGAAGACCGACTCTGACTCGTCCAATCGCATTCAACACTTCCCGCTTGTCGCTCGGTGGTGAAACCAAGAGCGACGGTCGTGGAACACCGGCCCCAAACGTCCGCGAGCTGGGGTCAGCGGGGGCTGTAAGCTGATGGTGGCTCGTCATAGGTTGCAGAGGCTGATGGTGTGAAGTACCTTGAGAAAAGTCATAGGGTAGTGGGAGGTTGGAACGGCCGGGCGCCCAAGACTTTCCACCACGATGCCTTTGGAGCTCCTAATGAAATGGACGGATTCAATCATTGAACCTGAACCATGCGAAATCTACTGCTGAACTTCGTGCCACACCATGCCACAACACTCCTTAGCCACTAGCCACGCTTGTGCCACATGCTAAGGACAGCAGTGCTAGAGGGCATTGCTGAGTCTTTGACCAAGTGAGCTTTGCCCCTTGTGGCAAGAGATTCTTTAGCTGATCAACGCCCCAATCGCTCCTCAAAAAGAGGTGGGAGGCAGACAACATTCACCCAATGGGGGAAAATGCACTAGGAGGCTGGGTCAAAGAACTTTGGTTAGCCAATCAGTCCACAAGATTTCCAGCGGAACTTGATGAGGGGATGGGTCAAAACCTGTAGCTTGACCCCTCTCAGGTAGGTCAAGCAGGTATCCGGGTTTTGACCCACAGCCATTTGCGAACTTCATCATTTCGAAAGATCCTCTTTGACCCATCACAGGGCCCAGTGCGCGCTCCCAAGGGACTTTTCAACAGTGAACTCTCTGGCCCGACGGCCTTTTTGCGCCGCCCACGCGGATGGATTTGCAACGCCTGGGCGGCGAGTTCCCGTGGCCAAGTTCTGGTGGGTTTGGATCTGGTTGTGGCGGAAGGGATGGGCATAGGATGGCATAGGTTTTGAATAGCTTTGAGTCCACTCGCCTTTTGTCCCGACTGTATACATAGCCGATAATAAGTAGGGGTCGTAGCCCAGTGGAGGACCAGAAGGATTGACAATCCATATCCATGTTGCCCAGTCTTTTTGAGCCATAGCCATGTGGAGGGCTCCGACCCGCTGGTTCATGAAGATGGGAAGCGGCCGGATCAGTTCAGACATACTCAGGTGGATGCACTTAGGATTAGTGGATACACTACAGGAAGACTGCTTACTTGGATGCTTGTTTCTTTTTGAATGGGCCGAGAGGAATGATTAGATCCAGTATGAACCAGTTTGGGAGTGGTTTCTTTTATCCACACCCAGGGTTTGGATCTTCTTTCGCTAGGATCGCCAGGTGCTGATCGCTAAGATCTCAGCACAGTTTGTACAGTCTGCCCACATCTCCACGCTGACCGTGCGTCGAGGTCGACCCTCGGGGGAAGAAAGGGATCGGGTTGGCTGGCTGAGGAGTCGGTCTTTAAAGCCTTTTTTGGGTCTTCCGGAGGCTTGGAGATCTTTCATTCATCCAGGTGAAGCATTCCCATGTATTCCCTGCTGCCGTTCTAAAGCAGGCCGATGAAGTTCTACCAAAGAGATTCCGATGTCGAAGTCCGATGACATCCGGATCGCACAGGCAAACACACTTTTCCCATTGCACCAGTATGCACTTGTTGATGTCATATTTTAGCTAAGGATGCTGGTTGCCCTGGTTTTGATCTCCCTGAACTGAACGTGGAGAAAAGAAATTGAACACCTCCCTGAGCTGGCTGTCTCCCTGAGCTCTTCCAACTTTGCTTCAAGCCAGCTCAAGAATCCAAAGAAGACGACTCCAATCTACAGTTTCGCTGCCTCGTGTAGAGGAGGGGGGGGAGCTCTTGACGCCTGGTCCATCAGTCCACCCAGCTTCCTGTGATGGCTCAAGGGGGTCATCCGGTGGCTTGGGATTCGCAGACGCGCCCCACAGACACAACGACTTCCGCCCCAAAAAGACAATGGCAGAAAGGCATCCACTTCTTCCAGTGGACTTATGTTTTGTCTTGCTATTCCTGGTTGAGCATTTCAACATGTTTTTGAGCAATTCGGAGTTTGCCCTGGCTATCCTGCAGCAACTTGTCTCCTCTCTCCCCGTGCCACCTCTCCGTGCGCCCACCGCCCGCGTTCTCACGATTGATCGAGCCCCGCGCGCCCCGCGCTCGATCGGTGCATGAAGCATCAAGAGCTTGTGGAGTGGATGGAGATTCGCTGGGGCTATCGGTTTGAAGGCGCTCCTGTGGTGTACAACGAGCAGGAGAGCAGGATGTGGGGAGAGAAGCGGCTTTGGGAATCAAAGAGTCTTTGGACTGGAGTCCTGGATAGAGATCTTGAAACAAGTTGGGTCTTGATTATTGACCTCTTTTTGGTGGGTGAGCGACACTGTGAACTAGCAAGAGAACACATGGAGCGCCAGGCAGAGTGCCAGCAACCGGTCTCCCAGTTTTTGCTGGGGCCTTACGATGGTGGGGGGTTGTGATGGCACCTTCGGTGTGGAGGCCCCACGGGTGGTGGGGGCTATCCGAAGCTCCGTTGGGCGTCGGTTGGGGAGGAGTGGCTGTGCTTCGACTTTCCCACATGCCCGGCGAAGCTGTACCTGGCCGATCTGGAGGACTGGGCGGCTACGAGGTGGGATGCGGGTAGACAATGGGCTTCGCGAGGGGGTTTGTGAGTGAGGAGACAAGAGTGGAGAAGGATTGGGAGTTTTTTTTTTGGGTTCCTAAGAGGCTCCTCCCTGGGCTGCGGAGATTTTCACAGAAGATCTGGTCCTCGTCCCCCCACCGAGCCCGTTTTCGGACCATGCTTGAGTAGAATACATCTGGGTGTCACTGGTGCCACAAGCTGCACGCCCTCGGACGACCTGGAATTCCCTTCCATTCAACGGTTTGCAGCACAGCAGCCCCCACCCGCAATCGAGAGAGGTACCTTCAGGCTCGACTGGTGGATACGGGTGGCATTGACTACTGGCAGGGCGGTGTCCACTACTGGCACTCCAAGGCGCCCCCGCTTGGCGGACGGAACTAGGACGTGATCGGGGAATTTGGTTTGGGGGGTGGTGCACCTTTTTCTCTTTTTTTTGGGGGGCTCAGGCCGAAGGAACACTGCTGGTAGGAATACTTTACATTCATAATATATATATATATATATATATTATATACTCTGTGTCTTTATGTGCCCAAGCACTTCTTCTAGACAACATGCTTTGGCCGTGAGATTTAATTGTTATTGGTCTGACATGGTTTGACACCTTTCGAGATCTTTGCATGGTTTCTCTTTTTTCTCCTCGATGTCCGAAAAAAAGTGCCAGATCCAAAGTCCACCAATCTTGGCCTTCCAAATTTGCTCTCTCCCAAGCTCTGCCACCTCCCCCCAAAGGTCGCCAAATGAGGCCTCTTTTCAGCCCGCCGTCGCCGGGCCTCGCCCATGCTCCGATGCTCTGGCGGGATCGCGGGTAGGTGATCTTCTTGAGCCCCGACCGGTCGGCCGTGGAGGTGGCGTTCAACTCGCTGGGGCGCCGCTGGCGCGGCGCCGGGGAGAACTTCGACTACGCGCAGGCGCGGGTTCTGCGCCGCGGCGCGGGAGAGGAGCCGGTTGGGCAAGTGGGCTCATGTGGGGTCTCATCACAGACGAAGGCTGTGGGCAGTTCTTTGCCTCCCGCAGGTTCTTCAAAGAACGCTGCTTGACGCTGTCTGCCAGTCCACAGTCGCACCACAGCGGCGACGACGACTGAATACGCTTCCAACGTTGGATCCGGTCGAGTCGCCAAGCACGATGAGCTACTGGGTCATTCCGAGCGCCCAGGAGGTCCAATGGCTCAAAGGCATCCTCCTCGTGGCCCATCGGCACTGTCAGCTGGAAAACCGGGGACGCATGCAGCTTTACCGGGACATCCGAAGGTACACTCTGGAAGATTATAACATGTAACATCAAAACCATTGGTTTGTAAAGGAGAACTAGCCTTTCAAAGGTCCATTTTCAGGTCCCATCTTCATCTTCCCGGTCTAGATCTCATCCTCAAGGCTCAGCAGCATCCAAGTCTATGCAGGGCTCGCCATCGCTGCAACACCGCTCTCTTAGCACAGATTCACTCCGAATTGGCACAGAACTGCCATGTCTTGCGATCAAAGCTACACGGGAACCCAAGGAGCCAACTGTCTTGGTTCCTGTTTCCTCGACCTTCCACGGCACGTCTCCACTGTACCTGAAATGAGGTGAAAAACAAGAATCGCTGGGCATTGGGATGCAAAAAGCACAACTGCCGCGCTGTCCATTTTGGAAGCCCTCCCCCCACAGACATTCTGCGATTTGGTCTGGCTGGATCTTGGCGTTTCCCCGCCAGCTCTTTGAGCCACCTCGGGCCGCCACGGAGTTCGGCGGCCCGGCCTGCAGGACCACGAATCCAGGCCAAGCCAAGGCCATCAAAAACCTGGTCACATGGACCCGCATCCAAATCTATTCAGAGCCAACCCATCATCCACACAATTCGAAAAAACATCCACACATTCAGAGCCTACATCCACTTTTTTTCCGGAAGAAGCTTCATGCCGCACCGGCACATTCAGAAGAATCGGTGATTCTTCATAGGCCAAGCACATGAGGCTCACATGATTCTGGACAGGCCAAGCATCTTTCGGCACTGGAGAGACGATGCCCAGCAGGGCCCCGCTTCCTCGTTCGGCCACTCTCGTTTTGGCACCGTGCCGCGTGGCAGGTGGAGGTGAAGAGAGCCCAGCAGCTGCACGAAGACCCTTGGAGAAGCCGTGGCACGGAGACGAGTTGACTCCAAGAGGTCCCTCCAAGGCAGATGGAAGAGGATACCTCATGTCGATGTATGGAAGCCTGATTCATGTCTTCATGTCTTTTGTTCGTTTCTGGTGTTTCTTGGACTTGATTGGCATGATCCTTGCCGAACATCGAAAAGATTGCCTTGCAGCAAGCTCGCCCTAGCTCACCAAGGAGAAATCGTAAAAACCTTTCACGGGGTGGCCGAACAAAAGTCAAAACCACCGAAGTTCCGAGGATCACACAGACTTTCGTTAACACAGCTTTTTTGTCAACACCAATTGACATCTTGTTTCCAAATGGCCTGTTGGAGCAAGCGCGGTGCAGAAGCACCCGCACCAAACGCCAGTGGCGGGTAGGGAGAAGAGGAGATCTTGTCAGCAGCTTTAAGGGGCAGTTGGGGGGAATCCCTTTCTGGTGGGTTAAGCGTTGGAATTCGGACAGGGTAGGCTGGGAGTTTGAAAGCCATTGAGCAGCCAAGAGCTCAGTCAACCCAACACCTCTCATTGGTGACTTTGGGCGCTGATTCAGAAGTCCCAAGCCTTCTTTTTTACGGCCCCCGGAGCTTGGTAGGTTAGAATCCTTGCGGGGGGGGCTTGGGACCGTCCCCGCCTAGGAGAGCTTTGGAGACGCAAGCTGGTACAGCTTCCAGCACACGGCCACCCTGGCACGGCAAATGTCCTATGAGGACGTCGTCCGGGCGGTGGCGACGGTTGCCTGGGAATATCCTTACTTCACCTGGGATGAAGCAGGCGCATGATGCGCCGATTTCTGCAGGTGGTTGCGCGGGTGTCGGGTGGATCTTAAGTCTTGTGGCATGTGCATGGTTGTACATGCGTGTTTGTTTGGAGTTGGTTGGTGGCTTGTGTTTCGGAGGTGAGTTGTTATATATACATAGTCTCTGACTGTTTGGCCCAGCGAAGCCGCAGCCGGCATTTTGACCACCCTTGGTGAGTGAAGATGGGGCTAGGAAGCCGAGTTCTATCCCCCAAGCCACTTCGACAAGGCTTCCATGTGTGCAGTGCAGCTGGCCAGTGCAGCGGGGTCGGATCGTTCTTGCCAGCCTCCAGGCACCTTTCAGAAGTGCCAGCCTCCTGGCATCAAGGAAGGCCACTGCAGGCGTGCGGGCGGAACATTTCTTTTGGCAGCTGGAGACCACAACAGCCATGCATTGAAGAAGTGAACGTCAACAGAAGCAGGGTGGAGATTTATGTATGCACCTCCGATCTTTCAACCTCGGCTTTCCTCCGCCCTTTGACAGCTGACCCTTCCGGCCTCTTCTTCGCCCCCTTCGGTTTTTCGGCCCTTTCATTCAACTCCATCCCTTCCGGCCTCCCAACGATCGTCACGTTGGAGCGCCACGTGGCCGCGCTCGGCAGGATCTTTGCCGATCGCCTGCTCCGGTCGGGTGTGCTGACCGAAGAGGAGGCCGCCCAACTTCCCGTCGACGCTCGGCCGAGGCCGGTGGACCACCGGGTGGACCACCCGGCGCCGGGTGCGGTGGTGCTTCGGTGGACGTGGTGGTTTCAAAAGGGCGAGCCTGTCTCGGAAGACTATTCTATTCAGTTTTATATACAAATTATATCCATATATATATATAGCGGACTTGAAGAAAGCGCTTGGAACCTATTTTGGAAGAACTTGCTCTTTCTCGACAGTTACACTACATTCGCATCACCCCTTAAAGATCCTTGGAGTAGGTCTATTCACTCTTCACAGGTTCTGAGCCTGGGGCTTCCAGCACAAAGGTTCTAAGTTAAGTCCCACCTCGGTTCACAGTGTGCAGTTTTTCCTTCGGAGAGATTTTCAACATGGTTTCTAACACATGTTGGGCAGTATCATGAAGAAGGATGTAGGAGGCCCCTTTGACAAGATGGGCGACCAGGGAAGCCAGTATCAATAAAGCATACATAAGCATACCACAATACCTACCAAAGAGGGTTGTCCAAAGCTCGCTTCCCGGATTGGTGCTACTCATCCACTAGTAGAGCACTTCCAGGGCGCTTCCAGATGCGAAACCCGAAAACGACGCCTGAGGACATGGACAGCTGGGAGCGCTTGGAAGCACCCAAGACCTCGGCCTTCCCCCGCTCGGCCACGCGAGGGCAATGCTCGTGCGTGGACTGCTGGACTGCGTGGACCGCGGTCGCCGTCTCACTCGCGATGGCTGTGGCGTCCGTGGGCCGGTGGGTGAAGGGGACGAACGAAGAGCGATGAGCGGATTGCACGGCGACCTTCACGACCAGCGAACCAGACTCAGAAAGGTCGGTGAGAAGGATGCAGGAGGCACAAGGTGTCTTTGAAGCTGTGAGAGGTGCGCTGATTTTTCTGCCACCACACATGCCTGTGGGCGCTTCCGAATGAGAGAACGACTCAATACTGGAGGACAATGAGAATCATGATCAGCTTACGTACGACAGGGCCCGACTGGGCCCGACAGAGCCTGACAGGGCTTCGCGACAGACGGTGGTTTGGACCGGCGTTGGCGGCAACACAGAGCTGCTGCAAAGGATGTTGTAGCTGGATTTTTTGGAACAAAGGAGCTGCAGATGGTGGGCAGGCTATGGAAGGGATAGATGTGAAAGCGCCGCGGAGGCAAAAAGTGTGCAGGCGATTGACCTTGAGGTTTTGAAGAGAGAAGCTGGGTCCACCACTTGAAGGTGACTTAGTATTAGACCCTCGCCAGCTTCTTTCTTGTGCCCTCACTTGTTCACATTTGTGTTTCATCAAATGCAGCCGTGATTGGTTCATGTGCACACTAGGGTCAAAGTCATTGAGAGCTCATTAACATAGTCAATGCACAATTAGATCGACAGATAGACAAGTTGATCCAGCTTTGGTTGATATTGGACAGCTATCATCGCTTCCCATTGCGTTTGACAATCCAGGATCTCTGCTATGCGACGGCATGCTGCGAGCGTACTTTCCAGATCGAACCATCAAAAGCAAGAACCAGTGACTACAGAACCCTTTGAGAAACTCGAGCCAACTAGACCAGCCCACTTTTGTCTCCTGCCTAGGGTTTTCCACCCCCCCAGAAATAATCTTCATTGGCTCCTTCCACCCTCCTTCATCACCAAGCAGAAAGCCCCCGAAAACCTCCTCGGACACCTCAGCAGAACAGCCTCCAAGCACCTCCCTGGTGCCCCAAGCACCGCATTTCGTGGACGCTTCGCCATGGCCTTGGAGGCGCCATGGCCTACCGCAGGGAGGACGCGCGGCTGCGTCGCGAGGCGGAGCTGTTGGAGGAGGAGCTGCTGGAGACTCAGAGACGAAGCAGGGAGGCCGGGGCTAGATCGGCGGAGCACGAGATCACGAGATCACGAGTGAGTGGTGATGAGTGGTGGGTTGGTGACCATTGGAGTGGATGGGATGGGATGGATTAGAATGAATGAGGTGATAAGGATGGCATTGGGTGGGAGGGTGATGGGAATGGATGCGATTCGGTGCTGGATGTTCACTGCAGTTAGACGATTCGCGTCGTGCGGCAGACTCCGCATCGGCAGGCGGAGGAGGCTCGACAGGAGGCTTTGGTGCTGGAGCAACGGAAGGCCCAGGAGCTTCGAGACGAGGCACATGGCAGTGGCTACAGTGGTGAGGTGGCCCAACAGTTAGTCTTGATGTCAAACAATACCATTCGGCTGGATGCTTGAACTTGTGCATAAGAAAAGATATATGTTACTATGATTTACTATGACTTATCATTGTTTCTACTGGCTACTGCTACTCATCAGTACTGAGGTGTTGGCGGAACTCTTATCACTCGCATTTTTTGCATGACTTGACTTCTGTTTGATGTTTCTTCCAAAATTTGAACGAAGGCAACACCCCACGGGCCTTCCCTTCTCGAGCCTTTGCGACCCTTTTTCTCTGTCACGCTGTCACACTGTCTGCCTTCGATGTTCAATGAGCCACTTAGACTTGCTCCTTTACCTGCTTGACTTGGATTTGCAGAAGGGATCTGCAAACACTCACCCCCCTCCAGCTTTGCTCAGGCCGCTGCTGCACTTCGTGTTCAACAGGAGCGTGCCGCCGAAGAGGTGGTGGAGGCCGGTTGGGCGGCAGTGCATCGAAGCGTGGAAGGCAGCATGGAACCACTGGGAATAAGGACGCTACATATATCGCTAGCTCCAGGCTTCAGCATGAATTGAGTTAGCTCCAGGTTAGCTCCAGGTCGCGTGCTTCTTTCCACTTCTCGAACATGTAGATTGCTCCACTCTCCCAGGCACGGCGCCGGCGCGCGGCCGAGGAGCTGCGACGGGAGGAGGCCTCGGCGGAGCGGCGGAAGAGCATCAGCCGGGGGAGCCGAGAGGAGTTCTTTTCTCGTTGAACTTCCTGGGGGTCTGGGGGTAGACTGACTCTTGTTCGCGACTCGTTTCGTTTCTTTTTTTCCTCTGAAGTTGCTGGCGCAATCAGTGTCCACCATTTTTCTGCACACCGGTTTGCCATGTCGCTCTTTCTTCTTGTTTTTCTCGAAGTTGATGTGGCAGCTCCCCTTCACATCCTGAAAATCATTTGGCTAGAATCTAGCACCTGTTGCATCCTGAGTCTCCACAACATTGTGATGCAACAGGGGTTAGATTCTAGCTAGATGTTTTTTAGGATGTGAAGGGGAGCTGAAAGAGAACTTCGAAACCCAAGGGTCTCGGAAAGCAGCCTTGGTGGTTTGGGATCCAGATATATGATTAGGGGATATTAGGAGTAGTCTTAAGATTAGCTTCGTGAATGGCTTCAACGTCATACATGGACGTCTTGGTGGATGTCGTTGGAAGTTCCCTTTGGCGTTCGTACGACGCTGTGGGCCCTCCCGAGGTCAGCTGGTGGCCGCTTGCTCCCAGGCAGCCGCTCGTGCCGAACGCCTACGGCGGCAGCTGGCGAACGCCGAGCGGCGGCAGCAGCTGGAGGTGCAGGCGTTGGAGGCAAGGCAGAGCTGGGGGCCAGGACCTACCAGGAGCAACCAATGGGTGTCCAATGGACTATCCTACACTGCTTGGGGACCTCCATTGGACATGCATTGGATGCTCATGGTATGTATATATTATATGCATTATGTTTTGTAAGTCATAGTGTAGCAGGTATACAAGGTGAAACTGACTGATTCGTGGTGGTGGATGGAAAGAAATCGTGGTCGGACAGTCAGCTGGACAGCCCTGCAAGCACGGTAATGACCGAGGTCTTCCTCACTCGTTGAAAGCTGGTAGAGGATCTATGATCCTTGTTTCTTAGACATTTGGGTGGCGACCCGATGGGTTGGGATTGGGGGAAATGGTGGCCAAGATGTTGGACATTTGCGGTTTGGCATGATGAAATTCCGCCACCTACATCGGCCTTAAATGCTCGTCCTCAAAAAGCCCGATGTTCATCCGATGTCGAAAGCAGCTGTCGCTGGAGGCCCAGGCGCACCTGGAGAGCCGCCGCTGGGCACAGGAGCAGCAGCTAAAGAGGGCTCAGATCCAGGTGCAGCGCTTTTTCGTTGGTCACGAGCGTCCCAAGGGAGTGGCCCAGCGAGACGGTGAAGAGTGGTTCACGGCAATGATGTAAACAGTGTTGGTGAGAGGAGATGAGGAGATCAGCCAAAAAATACGCATGGCGTGCTGATTATGCAAAGGCGTACAACAATGAATGCTCACACACATGTTGACACATCATTCTGTTGCAGCGGAAGGTGTTGAGTCTTGATGGTCGTGTTATTCGGCACGACTCACGACCCGGCGGAGGTGTTGAGAGCGGAAGTTGCTGAATTGGAGCTGGTGGAAGAGGAGTGGGAGTGTTTATTTTTGGGGTGGTTCTGAAGCCCATTGGTTGGTTGGTTGGCTGGCTGGCTGGTTGGTTGGTTGTTCCGCCCTCCTAAGTGGTGTTTTTTGGAGGCTAGACCTGCTAGGGCTGGGTCTGGATGTTGGTGGATCATTCTCCTGTAATGAAGGCGCTGTCGTTTGATTGGTGGTCAGTGATGCTTCAAAGCAAGAACTTCAAACTTCAAACCCTTTCTTTCTTTCTTCTTTTTGTTCTCCCTCTCACTCTCTCTCTCTCTCTCTACATAACTTGTAAATGCGAACCCCAGGAACACTTTAAGGCTTTAAGGTCTCCTTTCTTAGCCTTTGCATGCCTTTACCTATTTCAGTGATTCTTCACGCTTGTAAGTCCTCTGGCAGCCCACCTCCCAGGAGCACCGCGCCTGCGCGGCGCGAGCCGCCCGCGAGGCCGCCGTGCGCCGCGAGGCCGCCGAGCGGCGCCGGCGGCTCCTCGCGCGGCAGGCGGAACCAGAGGAGCCGCGGTTGCGGCGCGCAGGCGGCGGGGCCCGGCGTGGTTGAGAGGGGTCTTGATCCAAGTTTTTCAGCTTTATGCCTTTATGCCGCCTCAATCCGCCTCATGTAATAAATTGTAATAGCCTCCAATGTTCCAAACCATTGTCTGACTGACCGGGTCAACCTTTCTGAGATTGGTGCGGGAAGGCCAGGGTAGAGTTAATAGAACGGTTGAAGCTAGTGGCCAGCGCTGATGCGGTTTTGAATGGCTCACCTGTATGGCTGGTGCATGCCCAATATATCCCGTACTACCTCTACGGCTTGTCTCACCTGTGCAGCTTGTCACCTGTACAGCTTACAGTGGTTTCAGAGTAGATGGCACAAACCTGTGCATGCCGTCTTTCCGATGGGGATCCATATAAACCATTATATATATATAACCACCCAGACTGGGGCATTGTGCCAGCTACTCTTGACACTGTATATCCTGCAATCGCCCTTGACCACCGCGGACCGCAGTCGCCTTGCGTTTTTGCACCCAGGCGCCTCAGCTCCGGGGGCGACGGCGACGCTGTCGGCGCTGCGGCAGCAGTCCGCGGCGGACGCGCAGCGCGGGGAAGCGCAGAAGGCCCAGCTGCGACAGGAGTTGGAGGCGCTGAGGTGCCGCAGATCACGGCGCCAGGAGGAGTTTGAAGGGTTGGAGATGGAAGTGGTGATGCTTCAGGAGGAGAATGAGCAGAAGGCCCAGAAACTTGAAGTGGAGGAGGAAGAGGACTCTTGTTTACGCGCTTCTTTGGAGATGGCCACAGCTGAAGAGCTGCATCAGCAACAGCTGGAACTCTCCATCAACGCCGAAGCCCTGGC